GCCGCCAGCCGGCATTGTCCGGTCGACGGCACCCGGAGGAGGCCTAACCTGTGCGATCTTGTTGGCCGTTGGGAGGTAAGTGGCAGGAAGCGGTCTCTCAGGTAGCCAGGTCCAATACTATGTAGGGCTTTAAAAGTAACGACTAGCACATTGAAGCGGGTCCGGATACCAATGTGGAGCCAGTGCAGCTCGCAGAGGATAGGTGTAACATGGGTGTATCTAGGTACACCCCATATCGCTCGTGCAGCTGCATTCTGGACCAACTGAAGTCTTCGAACACTCTTCAGGGGCAGCCCCATGTAGAGTGCTGAGAGGGTTGGGTTACTAATGTTTGTAGTTAATGGTTGTAATTTATGTGCCAGGTTGCTCGTTTATACAAAAATTGCCGATGGTAGCAACTCAAAATCCAGACTCGGACATCACAATAATGGTCCTTCTGCTGGATCAGGCCTCCCGTAAGGCAGCATTTCAATGCCTCTTATAGTGGCCACTCAGAAGTGCTTTGAAGAACTTTCCTGTCCTACGTTCTTATCCAACGTATAGGTAGAATGGAGTCTCCAGTAGTCCCGTGTCTTATGAATGCGCCCTCTGGGCATCCTAGACCGAGCTAAATCTGAAAAACATTAGGGAATTTCTTGGAAGGATTTTGTCGTTGCCCAGCAGGAGTGTTGGAGCTGCCACCAGACTCCGACAGCGAGGGGCCCTATGAGTCGGTTCTGGAGGACCCTGGACAGGGTTCCGACCCCGAACAGGGTGCAGAGAGGCTGGTTGGCCACCAGGAGGCACCTTGGACCAGTGGGGAGGAGACTAGGGAGAGTGAGACGGATGCCAGTAGTGAGTTGTTCCTGGATGCATGCCAACAAAGAGCTATTAGGCATCAGGAACAGTTGCGCAGTCACAGGAGGTAATTGCACTCAGCTAGTGGTCGTTAGGCTCCTCTCCAGACTATAAAAGGACTGCTTGTGCACACGCCCCTCTTGCAGAAGTCAACGCAGGAACGAATGTCGGAGAACATTGTTATGAGCTTAGCAGGCTGGATTGCTGCCAAGCCTTATCTGTGTTTATTGCTTGTCTGTGCTGGTTTGCTGCCAAGGACCTGTCTGTCTGTTAATTAAATACGGTAACTTATCTTTGGCTCAGAGTGTGCTTTGGTGTGAAACGAGGGGGGTCAGAACAGATTTGCACTCAAGACACATCAGCCATCAGTAGACATATAGAGGGAGAGATGATAGCTTGCCCTTCCTGTATTGGTGTGGGAGAGGTTTTCCTTGAAGAGGGTATTGTTTTCTGAAGAATTTTTTGTCTGGTGTTAATCCATGCTTATCTAAATTTCTTTTTGTGTGTGTGTGTAGTCCTTGTTCCCTGCATTTGGTTGTTTTTTTGCAGATATTTTGTGACCCAACTAGACAACATCATCAATACTACAAGGGAGTGAGGTTTGTGGAGTGGAGAGCGGGAGGAGGAGGAGGAGGAGGAGGAGGAAGACTGTGGCTCCTTGGTGCTCTTCGAGCTGGGTTATTTTCTGGTTGACGTCTCATGACCCAACTAGCGAACATTATCAGTGCTAGAAAGGACGGAGGCTTTGCTCCGTTTATATAGAGTGGTTTGCCCTGTCGTTATTGGTGGGAGTGGTTCCTCCATCAGATCATTTACTCTCTCCTAGCCCTGCTGAGATTGCCAATATGGTCCTGGAACGTCTGCAGGAAAACCAAGCTCAGAGCGCACCAAGGACCCCACAGATCTCCTCCTCTTCTCTATAAACCCTCCACCTTTCTAGCACTGATGATGTTATTTAGTTGGGTAATGAAACGTCTGCAGGAAAACCAAGCTCAGAGCGCACCAAGGACCCCACAGATCTCCTCCTCTTCTCTATAAACCCTCCACCTTTCTAGCACTGATGATGTTATTTAGTTGGGTAATGAAACGTCTGCAGGAAAACCAAGCTCAGAGCGCACCAAGGACCCCACAGATCTCCTCCTCTTCTTCTACCTCTTCCTATGCACAACCCACCCTCCTTTCTAGCCCTGATGATGTTCCCTAGTTGGGTCATGAAACATCTGCAAGAAAACTACCCAGCTCAGAGACCAACAAGGACCCCATAGTCCCGAGATGGGGAACCTATAGCGTGCTTGCCACAGGTGGCATGTGGAGCTATCTCTGAGGGCATGAGAGCCATGGCCCTAGATCAGCTGCAGCGCGCATGTGCATGCCAGCCAACTGATTCTTGGCCTTCAAAGGGCCTCTGGAAGGCCGGGGGGGGGGCGTTTTCGCCCTCCCCAGGCTTCAGGAGGAGGCAGGGGGTCATGTGTGCATGCACAGGTGTGCGCACAGATGCGCGGCGTGATTAAATTATGAATGGGAGCACATGCGTCCACTCGCTATCGCATCCTGTGCCAAAAAAGGTTAGCCATCACTGGCATAGTCCTTCCCTTTTCCTTCTCCCAAACCCTTTTCCCTTCTAGCACTGATGATGTTACCTAGTTGGGCCATGAAATGTCTACAAAAAACCCGCCAAGCTCAGAGAGCACCAAGGACCCCACAGCTGTCCCCCTTTCCCCCACTTCAACATTGATGATGTTACCTAGTTGGGTCACGAAACCTCTGCAAAACAAACCCCAAGCTAAGAGACCACCAAGGACCACCCTCCTTCCCCAGTTCAACGCTGAACTACAAACACTTTCTTCTATCAATAACAGTGAGACTTTTTCCCAGAAATGTGAAATGCCATTTCTTCCCCCTCTTTGTTTCCCCAAAGGAAAAAAGGTTAAGGGAGAGACAGACGGAGACGGAAGAAAGCTTACAGAAACGGCTACAAGCAGCTGCCACTGACATGGAACTCAGTGAGTTAATCTGAAGACTTTTGGGGGGTTCTTGTTGTGATTTGTTTATTTATTAGACTTATATACCGCTTTATACGGCTTTCAGCCCTCTCTAAGCGGTTTACAAATTTTTTAGCAAATCGAGTCAGCAACTTGCCCCCCACAGTCCTGGTCCTCATTTCACCCACCTCGGAAGGATGGAAGGCTGAGTCGACCTTGAGCTGGTGAGATTTGAACCGCTGAACTGCAGATCACAGCCAGCTAAAGTGGCCTGCAGTACTGCACCCCAACCACTGCGCCACCTCGGCTCTTAGGTGATGAAGAAAGACGCACAGGCAGGAAGAAGGTCAATGGGAAGGCACTCCGAACAGCTCGTGAGAGCTCCCTTTTTATTGCCGTATACAGCTACCTTGGCAGAAGCTGATTCATTGATCAAAGTACACTTTGTACTGATTGGATTAGCTAGAAAAAAGTCCAAGCTATGGCTGAGAAGGTTAATGGACAGCTCATGGTTTGTTGTTGCAAGCGACGGAAAGTGCCTACGTGCCAAATCTCATGTTTCCCACTTCTTAAGAAAGGATCATTGTGCTGGTGCTGCATTCGCAGCGTGGTTTGCCAGCTACTGAGAAAACAAAACCTCCCCCACAGGTTCTCTCCCGCTCCCCAATATGGAGGAAAGGGGGGGGGGGTTGGTCCAAGCGTGAGCAGAGATGATATAGCAATATAGCAATAGCAGTAGACTTATATACCGCTTCATAGGCCTTTCAGGCCTCTCTAAGCGGTTTACAGAGAGTCAGCATATTGCCCCCA